TTACTATATAATCTGACTGGCATTAATATAACATCTGGCCTGCTTTAACATATTCACCGTAAATTCTCGAAATATCGAATTTTGACTCAAATTAAGCTTAATTTGGGCCGAAATTCGAAACAATGCCCACTGATAGAACAATAAATTTATTTTTTTTATTGAACACAAAAATTAACTTGTATCCAATTCCGCGCGGGATTCATATCACGTGTGTGATCTGCATATAACATGCAGAATTTTTCTAGTATCTAGTGATGGAACCAATCACATAGTAATTATAAATTATTAATGGCTAATAATTTTAGTACCGTTTTAAAACTCAAGTTCAGTGCCTAAAGTCATAATAATTGTAATGATGTATATATTTATCTATTACTGGTTTGGCATTTTATTTACAATAATTCAGTATAAACTCAATAAACCAGAATAGTTAGTTCTGTAACAAAATTTTTTATAATGCTATAGTACTATGGTATTGCATTATTACAATGCAAAGGTCTATCTGCTATAGTATTATGACATTATGGCATTATAATATTGCAGCATTGTGGCATATAATATTTATAGCAATTGAGCTCTGTGCCATAATCAGTTCTACCATATCAGATATGGTAGAATGCTATAATTCAGTAATTCTACTACCAATACTAGTCATCCTATACATCGATATTATAACTTAAAGTAATCCAAATTAGAATTCTACAAAGGTTTCTAAAGTTATATAATTTGGTTAAATTCAGACATATTGTAATAATGAGACAAAAAGCTGGGTTTTTTATGTAATTTATATTAGTATGTGTTTTCTAATAAATAATCTTTGGAAACAATGAATAATATATACTTTATTGATTTGCAAATTTCAGTTCAAAGTCAAAAGACTTTTGTATATTAATATAGGTTTGTTAATGATGTGTAAAGAAAATCCAAATTGGAATTCTATAAAGGTTTTCTAAAATTACTATTTAGAAAAAAATTTCTTGGCTAAAGAATAAACTTTATTAAATGTATAACTAAATCTAATTGTTAATTCTGCAAAAAAATTCTAATTTTATATCATAGTATTAATTTTAACTTGTAATTATTTGTACAGTATAAAAAAAAATGTGTCTTTATGCATCTTATTCTATGTATAAAATCTTGCATAGCAATTATGAATAAAATAATTTTTTATTTAATAAATTCCATAACAGTAAAGTAATTGAAATATTAATCACATAGCATTGATTATATTACTTAATAAAAAATTTTGTATTTGAAAAACGTCACAATGTAAATGTGTCAAATTTTATTTAATACTATAATGGTTGTAAAAATGAATGACCAAAATCTTTTTACTTTAATTAGTTAGTTTCCATCCCATTATACATAAAGCAAGGCAAGATGATATAATTAACTATGTAGTCTTTGCCTTGAAAATGACCTTATCATATTATGTCCCATAAGGTCATTTTCAAGGCAAAGACCCCAATTTTTTTTCTAAATAAAAGAAAAATCTTTTTATACTTGCCACCAAACAAAAAAATCTTTTTATTCTTTCCACCAAACAAAATAAAAAAAATGGCTTCTAATGAACCTAGTAATTTCACTTCTAATGGAACTAGTAACCTTACTTCTAATAAAATTATTGAAGAACTTGAGAGAATAATTTTTAATATTTTCAAAAAAATTAAAAAAATAAGTGATAAAATCAAAGATAAAGACATTTGTTGAATGAAGTTATTTAAATACATTTATATTTATTTATTTACTTATTTACTTATTTACTTATTTATTTATTTATTTACTTATTTATTTATTTATCTAGCATGAGAATGAATTGCATAATGCAATCACCAATAAACAAAATATGAAGAAAAGAAGACTTCAAGGCCATTTAAAAGCAAGACATGATTATGTTGGCAAAGTCTTGGAATTATATAATTTATAATTATTTGCCAAAGTTCATTTCTTTGTATTAGTATATAATTGATAATAAAATGTAATTCTATGTAAATTTTTAAGCATATTTTGGTATAAATCGTCTTTACTTTTAATAAATATATTTTAAACCTATAATTAAACAACTATTATTTTAGTACTATTTGAATCGTCTCAATTCGAATAATATTAAAGATTTTAGATATCGTTAAATTAAATAAATATCTGTAATTTAGAATTAACAATAATATAGTATGGAGAAATAAGTTAGCACTATTAGTCTGTGTTAACATGTAAAATTAACTTTTCTACACTAAACAATTATTAAATAAAGTATCTGTAAAAAAAAATTGAATCATAGTACTTTAATAAAAATATAATTAATAGAGATTTATATCAAAATCTCAAAAGTTAGAATTCAAACTAGAGAGTCTAGAATTCTGCTTTTGCTTACTCTAAAATTATCTTTTTGTATTGTTTCTATAAGATAAACATGACTTTAATTATTTTTTAAATCTAAATACAATACAAAAAATATTTTTAAAATTCTGGACACTTTACTAGAGTTGTAGGTGAAATTGGTGAATACTAGTGAAACTACTGTTAAAACTAATTAAAATTTTTATAATAAATTTTTTATTTATATTTAATCAAATCTACTAATATTTGTAACCAATAAAATATAAAAAATTGGATACAATCTATTTATTTAACTTCAAGAATTGCTGAAACAAATACATTTTATTATCCAGTAGCTTACTATAATTGTGCTGCCAAAATAACTCAAGTTATTTGGCAGTGATATATCATCAGCTAGTTATTTGGCAGTTTATATAATTACTGCCAAAACTTGAGTCATTTAGAAGCACAATTGTCATAAAAAACTGAATAATTTTGTTATTGTATGCTACGCTAGTCAATAACTTTTATTGAATTATTTTACAAATAATTCTCGTTATTGGCTACTTTACATCATTATCTAGAGCCGAATGAACTGCATAATTTGACCAGGATTAAAAAAGTAATTATGTAATATATGATGATCGTGTATCATGTGTTGATACCAGGAACAGAGTTTCATGAAAGTGAAATAAAGGGTATAGTTTATAGCTATAATTGATGATATATATTGCCAAACTCTCGTATTTGGTTGGTTGGCATGATTGTAGAACTTTTTATTTTTATTTTTATGGGTATTTATAGACAGACATTTGTATAGTTTAAATCAACAGTTTAAAGAACTTTTTTAAAAAAAGAAAACTACTATGAATAAATAAAAAAAAGTATATAGAAAGTTTTATTAGGGTTGTAGAACTTCACTATTAAAAATAATCAAAATTCTTTTCTGTTTAAGAGAAGTTAGCATGGTAATAACTAATTTTAAGAAGTCATTATTATGCTAACTTCTTTAAAATAAAAAAGAATTTTAATTATTTTTAATAGTAGAGTCCTACAGCCCTAATAAAACTTTCTATATACTTTTTTTTTGTTTATTCATAATAGTTTTCTTTTTTTAAAAAGTTTTTTAAACTGTACAAATAATGTAGAATTAATTTGATTTAGACAGCCAATTACATGAATGTCTGCCTATCTGATTTATTTTTTTGCTTTACAAAATGTGTTATATATTTACTAGTATATGTATGAGTGCTAAAGTTGAGTCGTTATATAGTATTTGATTTTATTTGTAAGTTATAATTATGTTTACAAATTCATTTATATATATTGCATATGTTATATTTTACTACTTATAAAATGTTACAACTTGATTAAGAAATATAAACCATCTATGAAAATTAGGATTTTCTAAATTAAAAAAATAAGCATATATTAGAAATAAATAGATTTGGGGGAGAGTAAGTAGAAACCAAGCATCTTGTTTTTAGTGAGTTTTTTTAAAACTTTAAATTAAAATATCTCAACAACTATTAAACCAAACTTGATAAATTTTTTTTTATTTTAATTCTATAACTATATAGAATTAAAATAAAAAAAAATTTATTAAGTTTAGTTTAATAGTTATTGAGATATTTTAATTTAATGTCTGAAAAAAATTTACTTAGAAACAAGATGCTTGGTTTCTATTTACTCCCCCCTATTTATTAAAAATCTATATTTCATAATTTGAGATCAGAAATAAGTGGAAGTGTTTAGACACTCCTATTTTATAAAAAATTAACTTTAATATCAAAGATAATAAATACAATAAAATTAACACGTTCACTTATTTAAATTAATTGATAATTCTTCAGTCAACTGAAGAATAAATATAGTAAAACATGACTAGCTTACTATATAAATCTAATATAGCTCGAATATGAAATTGCTCCAAGATAATTTTTTTTGTACTAAGTTAATCAATCTTGTCAATTAATTAAAAGTTGTAGAGCTCATTTTTGTGGTTTTAATAGTAGTTAAAGCATCAAAATCAGCCTGGTGGGTGCCAAAATATCTTTAAAAAATGTTTCTTTTACTATGTAAACTTTTTTGCAAACAATATTCAAACAATAGTATTATTTGCAAAAAAGTTTACATAGTAAAAGAAATGTTTTTTAAAGATATCTTGGCATCTACCAGGCAAATTTTGATACTTTAACCACTATTAAAACTATAAAGATGAGCTCTACAACTTTCAATTAATTGACAAGCTCAATTAACTTAGTACAAAAAAAGTTTATTTTGAAGCAATTTCATATTCAGGCTATATTAGATTTATATAGTAAACTGAGTCATGTTTTACTATATTTATTCTTCAGTTAACTGGAAAATTATCAATTAAATTAGATTCTCATAATTTAATTCTAAAACATCTTATTAATTTAACTATTATTTTCTTCTTATATTTCTTTTTCTTTTTTTTTCTCTAATTTTTTCATCATTTAATTCTTCTAATTTTTCATCTTTACCACTAGGCACTTTTTCTTCATCTTCAAGATTACACTCTTTTTCCATATTACTTTCAATATTTGATTTAAAAGTTTCTTTTCTTTTTTTATTTTTAGTTTGTTTAGTACTAGATGCTTGTTCTTCTTTCATATTTCTTTTTCTCTTTTGTCCACTAAGTTTTGAATTATTTGACTCTTCTAAATTTTATCTTTGTCACTAGGTTCTTTTTCTTCATCTTCAACACTGCTCTCATTTTCTATAAAAGTTTTTTTTGCTTTTTTATTTTGAATATATTTAGTATCATATGCTGTTTTTTCATTCATATTTCCTTTTCTTTTTTGTTCTTTAAAATCTGATTCTTCTAAAATTGCAATATTTATTACTAAAATCATTTTCTTCAAATTTTCTTTCTTTTTCTATGCTACTTTTAATATTTATTCTAAAAGTTTCTTTTTTTTATTTTGAGTATGTTTGGTATCAGATACTGGTTTTTCTTTTGTAATAAAATTTCATATTGATTAGAAATTTTGGATATTAAATTATGATATCTTTTTGGTGCTTGAGAAGTGGTATATTTGATTTCTTCTGCAATAAGGTCAATATCTGAGCTAATATCTAATATAGTTAAAATGCCTCCTTATTTATTATAATCAGTGTTAAGAGTATTCATGTAGTCAATATCTGTAGCCTCTATACTAATAATTTTATTTTTGATGCATTTAAAAAACCAAATACAAGTAATATGTGGTTTATATTAATACCTGTATAGAAATAGTTAAATCTGGGTGCATTGGGCCACTCTAATTTAATTTTCTGTTTAATATAACATAAAAGTAGCTTATAACGATGGGGGGAGGGAATTAAAAAAACACAAATATAAAAAACACAGTAATTCTATTGGCTATTAAAAAATGTAAAAATGCAAAAAGTTAATACTGCAATCTGATTGGCTAATATTATGTGTTTTTTTATGCAAAATTTTAAAAATAGGGGGAGGGGGTTATGTTAAACAAAAAATCAAATTGGTCTGGCCTTGGTGGGAAAAAGAATAGTCATTTTCATAAGAACATTATGACTACTAGTAATTGAGTTATATTGGTAACAATCTGCTCCAAAGTGAGTCATATCTCTCATATTCCTTGCTTCACACTTTACTGTTATGAAAAACATACAATGTGGAATACTAATAGAAATTTCCCCAGGTTCAAATTCTCGATTAAGATCTCCAGCAGCAATAACAGTAACATGAGTAACATTGATATATTGTTCTAGATTTTCAATTATAAACTTTTCAAAAAATAAAACTATATTACCCACTGAAAAGTCAGGATATGATTTTTAATAAGGGTAAAAATATTTCCAGTAGGCTATTTGAAAATTATCTTTAGCAGGTTGATATTTAGCTATATCCTGTGTAAGTGAATTGATACTTTCTTTAGTAGTTATAATGACAATGAGAGTAACATGTGAAGGCATTTTTTAAAAATGTACTAGTAATTTTAAGGCATTATATGCATATATATATATTTTATAAATAATTATATAAACATATAATTTATTTTTTTCTATGTTTTTAATTTTTATTAAACAATATTACTACTATATTGATAATATAAATACTTAATAACATGTTACTTAAGTTGTGTTAATTTTTCAATTACCATGCTACGTACTGTAAAAATATTTTTTTATGTTACATCAATAAAATGCAAATATTTGTTACAGCTGATCAATTATGTGACAAAAATTAGTAGCATTCTAGATACGTAGTTCATAGTTAAAACAAAATAATAAAAAAAAACAATACTTGTAATTTATTTTTATATATCATGTTCAAACCTTTTTTTGATAATGTGCTTATTTATAAATGTGTAATTTATTGATTGGCAAAAGATATATTTATTAGCACTAATTAATTAATCTTAGTAGAATTAGAACTGGACGAGACCTGATTATTCCAATTATATAATAGTAATAGATAGTATATAAAAATTTAATGTTGATTGCGATAGATTAAATTAAATCAAATTAAAATAAAAAATATACATATAAAAATAAACAAACTACTAAAATATTATTTTTGAAGTATATTTTTAAGATTAAAAGGTTAGAGTTAACTTTTAATTTTATGGAAAAGTTATAATAAACAATTATAAGTAAGCTTTAGAGATTTAAATAAAATTCTTTATTTCTAATTTTTTATAATTCATGACTATTTATTAAGCGAATTAAGCATAAATTTGTTTGATCTTAGATAATTAAACTTCTCTAAACCAATCCTGTCGAATCCAATATTCTATTAAATCTGATAAAAATTAATGTTCTTCCTTTTCAACGCCTATTACATTTGCATAACAATGTCCAAGGCTAATTATTGCATTAGAATCTCCCATTTCAGCAGTTTTTTATAATTAACGAATGTCTCATCCTTTTCAACTCCTATTCCATTTTGATAACAACCTGCGAGATTATTTATTGCAGTAACATTTCCCATCTCAGCAGATTATTGACAATAAATGAATGCCTTATGTTCATCTTTTTTAACACCTAATCCATAAAAATAGCAGTCCGCAGTATTATGAATTCCCTTAGCATTTCCGTCTCGGCAGATTTCTGATAGTGAATAAATACCTTATTTTCATCCTTTTCAACCCCTATTCCATGTTGATAACTGTACCCAAGAACATTAGGGTCTGACACTTTTGATTTTTTATGATAAAAGAAATTATTATAATTTTTCTTCATTTTCTTTTTGCTTACAGAATCTTTAGGTCACTACGCTATTTAGGTACCACAATGTTTTTTTTCTTAAGATATCGGTGGCAACTGTATGATTTTTTTTATACATAAGATCATGTAATTCTGAGCTAGAATTTAGTCTAATATATAAGTCCTGTTCTCTCCGAACTAACGTTCTAAAGTACGCTTTATTTTAGATCGTTTTTTTTTGTTTCTAAAAAGTACAACTGATGTCTCTTAATTTTTTTTAAAATTTACAAAATTAACATTTTGGTTTGTTTTTTGTATTTTATTAATCAAAGCAAAATGATTGTTTAAGACAATTCTTAAAAAATGAAAATTTTGCAGATGACATAAATTGTACGTAGATTTGTTTTGCCAATCACAGATTTTATCAGATCAGAGTATTCTTTAATTTTTACTGTTTTTTTTTTAAAAAAAAAGTTGCAGTATAGAATTACTGCACTGTTATATCAATATGTTACAACAATGCCGTAATTTAAGATAAAAGTTACAATAAGTTACAACTAAAGATGAAAGCGTTCAAAAGTGAAATCCTCATTACTAGGCTGGTATTGCTAAAATGTATTTCATTATTTCCTAGACATATCTTTCGGAATAAACTCTAATTCCTTAATTGTCTCATAATCATATCATACTACGACTAACCATTAGTCCATCCGATCCATATATTTAGAATGTGAAGATGACTAATATTATATATACTAATTTATTGGATCATTAGTTTGGTGGATGTAATCCTATTAATTATCCTTCACTATGTTTCGAACCATTGAGAAAGAATTAATCTTGAGTATTACTGTATTAATTATGAACTCATAGATCGAACATAATGTATTAAAAATTGACTCTCAGATATGGCCGATGTTCTTTATATGAACCTCATTATTGCGAATCTTGGATATGATAGAAAGCATTTCGATGGCTAAGAATATACTAGTTTGGCTATAAAGAGCCTTTTCTTCCATTGGGTTTTTATAGAAAAGGTTGACTGCAATATGTATAAAAAGTAATAAACAGTTTATTGAAGTTTGCAAAGATGTAGCAATTCACTTATGCAATCACCTGATTGTCGTCCGATTACGTGTAATAAAGTGCATTCTTCAATATAACTATATTGTTTCTTTTTTCGTTAGCATATAATTGCGAAATCGGATAACAATCATGTCTTCAAAGTTGACCAAATATACATTTTTTTGCAAACTGCAATAAATCACGCATTAAAAATAATCGTATATTTAGATCGTCAATTATTATCGATAAGTATGCAAGAAGTTCGAAATATAAGTTGCAGATGGGTATGGAATATTTGTAGATTCGGAGTCGGCATAAGTTGATTTTAATAAAAGGTGCGATCATTATCTAATGTAAATAGGGCTGTTAATGGAGAGCTCCGGACAATAATAAAACATATAACACGGTTATATAGCCTGGGATGCTCTATTAACAACCATAAATGTAAATAGCAATAATTATATATAAGACTGTTACATGAATTATAGTACTTTGCAATAAAATATGACTCTGGATTACCTGTTGATCATATTTTTTTCAATCACATATATTTATTTATTTGAACCGGTAAAGTTTCTTAAATCTACAAACCCATAAATTCTTACGTGGTAACGTGATCTGAAAATTACATCCTCTATAAAGAGGTTATTTCCAGATATAACTGTTACCCTTTTACTCTAATAGGGTATAAAACCGGTAACTAGATTTAATTAAAGTTTCGGGCAAAGAGTTAACCAGGTACGAACACTACTGCGCACTATTAAAAGTTTTATTGCAAAATTTTGGTATTGGAAAAATTCTTCCAGTCTTAACTAGATGGGAAACCCAACCGTAATTTACTTAAAAATTTTTTTAGCGAAATTTTTTTTAGTTGATAACATTAAGGTATCTCTATAGATTAGGTAAGGCACAACGATGCGATTCAAATATTTATTTAGGCAATTGTATGTTGTAAGTGGAGACGAAGCATTTTATCAGCAAATATAAATTGAATTTACTTAAATTATATACTGAGTAGCAGATTTAGCAGTAGGTAAAAAAAAACACACACACACTTAGTAATTAAAGCCAAATAGATTCAATCTACATGATAGCCATATGTTAGAATGATTGCCCGATGAACAAAGTAAAAATCCAGTTGGATGGGATCATTAAGATTTGGAGGGATTTGGGCAGGAGGCTTTAAATCATGATAAAGACAGCGTAATGGTATGTTAATGATGCATTGACCTTGCAAAATATTTAACGGAGCTCCTGTACCATCTTGTGTACCAAATTCAAACTAATAGTTATTTATATATACATTAGAGATTTTAATGTGTAAATAAAAAAAAAACTATTTACTGTAGTCTAACATTACCGAAGTTTTGTATGGAATTGTATTTCTTGCCCTTCTATCTTCTATACAATAATGCCAAGCCTACAATGAATTAAAATCTTCAGAATATTATATAAATAAGATGATGATTACACTGCATAAATATAGCCTACCCTCATTCGAACTGGCATTTGGCCTTCGGGGACAGGATCGATTTTTACAATAATGCAATCGTGAACACGACCAGGATTTAACCAATATTTTAAAGTTTCCTCAACATGATCTAATGGTCCAGTATAGGCTACTTCCACGACCAAATTTGGCCACGGACGATCCTAAATTAAAAAGGTATATCGATATGAATATGAAATTACTAGCTTTAAAAAATTCAAATCAAATAAAAAAAAAAAAGAAATCACGTTTCTATCAGACCCATTTGGTACAGTTACGGCTGGTTTTACTGGACGAAACGAAGCATCAGTTACTTTTCCACGGTTTTTATCACGTGTATCTTTAATAAGTAAAGATTAATATGATAATACATAAACATAGCAATATATTATAATATTTGATACTTACCAGTAGAACCAAAACCTAAAATCTCAGCTGGTGTATTGTCAGCATTTCTACAAGCAGCCATTATTTCGTTGGAAACTGCACAGTTGCAAACTTCGTGTGCCATAGAATTTAATTCATAGATTATTACTTCACCATTCAACCATTCCCAGCATCTATGGATACTAAATTTTTCTACACGTTCTTCATAATCTTCTAGGGTGACACCCGTAGCAAGTACATATGGCAGGCTTAATATAAATAATTTATATCAGCAACTGGCTTAAAAGATACAAAATAAAACAGCAAAACTTACGTTACTTCATCCCATCTCGCTTTTTCATTAAATTCTCCTTTATCCCACCACAGGTTTCTATAATAGTTGCATACTGACATTCTTTCTTTTCTGGAAAGTTAATGAAAAAAAATAAGGAGTAACAATTGCATATATTTACTTATGTAGTGGTGATAGAGCTTGCACTTTTACTCAACTTTGTTGAACTAAAGCTACTGAAACTTACATTTGCAGTACCGGTATTTTGATGTTTGAAAAAGATGATTTACGATTAAAAATTACAGCCAATTTTATCCCATGACCAAACCAATAAAAATAGCGTATGAAATGGGCGTTAACCTATTTAAAGTCTAGCTCGAATTCGTAGTTTTCACCCATCAACACTTAATTTCAGTATGTTTTAAAACGGAATGTTTGAAACATGATCGTTTGATTTAAAACTGTTTTTAAATGATTTAATACACTCTGACGTAATCTAATACATAATAATGGGATAGTATTTATTTATTTAACTAATTCACCAAAATACAACTTTATCGTTATCTCTTTTTAAAACAATCTTGCTCCGTGGAAGGCCTCCATAAAAGAAATTCGCTTGAACTTTACAAAAATTATGGAAACTGCGCCTCGTCAAAAGTGTAACTACCGTGGAGAGGACTTTTTGGATTTAGTCGCTTGATTAAAGGATCACTTATATAGAAAAAAGCTTCCAAAAAGATGAATAATTTATTAAATAATGAATGGGTAAAAAAAACTTGTGCAGTCTATCAGAATTTAAGAATTTAAAAAGGAATTGAGATTGATGGTTGTTTCGAAGATGACGATAATTAAATTTATAGCTATGTATATTAAAAGGAGCATACAAAAAAAAATAAAAAATAAAAAATAATTTATATAAATAGTTAAGCAATTGTAATTATGTAATAAGCAAAGTTTATAAATGAATATTTTTCATTAAAGTTATCTCTATGAAATTTGGTGAATCGGCATTTTAGTCTCAGCGCAAATGTTTTAAAAAGTTTTTAAAAAGGTTTAAAACATCTAAAAAAACTGGTTAAAGCGTTTTTTTTTTCATCCCTAGTACTCATTAACTAACACCATCTTTACTACGACGATATGGCACTTGCAGTTTGTATTTTTACTTATTTTTTAATTTAATGTACTATTAGAGAGAAAGAAACGTTTGACTTACTAATCTCTTCTCATATTTATACATTTTACTTTACCAAATTTGTGACAAATATCGTGTGCAAATTATACAATAGATTTCTATGAGAATAAAAGTTTACTGATCCATTTAATCTTTGTCATGCGAAGTATTTAATTCGTGCCTTTAAATTTCATGATAATCACAGTGCGAGGTATATCAACATATAATCAAAAAATGATCACAGAAAAACCCATCTCTACTTTCTTTAAAAATTAATTCAAATTTATAAAGTATTCTTGTAATATTATAAGTTGATGGAATCCAGAGAAATCTATGCAAAACGTTCTTCATTAATAATGATGGACTGATAAATCAAGATCTATTTTACGGGCAGATAAAATAAAATAGTTGAAGAGATAGACTTGCTATAAAGTTTAACTTTTGTTACCAGACATTTGAAGATATCGAATTAAAGGAATATAATTATTGAGGAAAACAGATCTAAAATTTATACCTTTCCCTATTGAATAATCTTATCCAAATTTTATATTTTACTAATTGTAAGTTTTAAAAGAGTTACCGGCGCATTTTCTTGAACCGAAGTAAAATTATTTGAATCAAAGATCAGATACAAACGTCCTACAAGGATATTTGTGCAAAACGTTTGTAGGGTCTTAAAACGATTAATTTGAAAACTGGTAAGATAGACTTTGATGAATTTATATAATCCAAGATATTTCGTTATCGACAAGATACGACTGAATCAGGGTTGTCACGTTTACTATGTTTGTTCTATTGGCTCCTAATTCTATTCACTTTTTTTATTTTTCTATTGTAAACTTTCAGTATTAAATTTTACTAATTAAATTTAAAAATATTTTAAATTTATTATTTTACTAATGGTCTAACAATATGTATTTAATAATTGCATATTATTAATAAAAATTTTTTTTTATATAAAGACAAAAAATCAAGCTTTTATTCTATTGTTCTATTTGCCAACACTGGACTGAATATATTCAACTAGCTCTTCAAAATCCAATTTGTTAGAATAAATTAAAAGATAAGTAGATTGTCCGGCATTTCTTATTATGTTTATTATACAGTAATTAATATGATGCTAAATGCTAAATTACTTAATTAAATTTTAGACCTCTACAGAAATATGATGTATTGTAATTTCAATAATTTTATTCTTTTTAATTGTTCTTGTCAATTCTTTATGAAAGAATGATGAACGTTTGATATAATACTAATGAAAGTAATTTAAAATTTTATTGTTCTAATAATAACATTATAATCGTATTCACTATCAAAAAAGTTGTGCGAAATCATTTGATAAACGTTCAAGTAATTTTGTTTCACTTTGCGACATTTGAAATTTTTGGAGTTTAGACGGATCAAGGGTATGGAAGAAATTTTCCAGGTCACATAAAATCAATAAAGTTTATCGAAGAAATTTTTTATTAAAACGCGAAAGGCAGATTTACAGTATTTGTAAATTTTTAAGATAATACGTCACCTTTGTTTATGTTGTATTACACCAAATAATTTTTATCTGAAGTGCAGAAGTGTTAACGCACAGATACTGTCACAACTATATGAAAGCTGCTTCGGGAATTTTAATGTTTATTTAGCACTTCAATAGAATTGGTTTAAATGTTGTAGGTGGATGCGAAGCATCTTTCAACTCAACACAAGTTGATCCTAAATTCACTTAAATCGATTTTGAATTCAAAACGACTTAAGAATTGAATATTAAAAGAGAACAAATAAATATTTCCCTAAAACATTTTATTTACTGTTATACGTATTGCTATTATATAAGTGTTTAGTAACACAAGCTAGATATAATTCAATAGAGGCATATAAATATTTACATATAATATTTATTAACTTTAAATACAATAATGAAGATTATTCTCATGTCTTTCTGCTTAATTGTTGCATTGTATACTTTATTTCAAATAAAATTTACACTCAACTTATACCTGACCACCCGGGATATAACTATTACCGATACTCTAATATGTACTAGTAGAAATAAGAAACTGATGACGTGTACCAATAGAAATAAGAACGTACATGAAAAGCATGAAAAGTGTGATGTGGATGGGGTTGAGCAGGGATAAGTATAAATATCCCCCGATTTCGCACCAAGAAATAGATAGATAAATACTCACATTCAATAAATAAAAATACTAAATTGTGTTTCTATACATGAGATAAACCCCAAACAAAGTCGTTAAGATGTGTAACGATCTTGATCACGTGATTACTGCGAAGGTTATTCATGATCGAGATAATGAAATTTATTAGTTAAATCCATTTGTTACTCGACTATAGTGATGTGCCGCGTACAGACTATACGTACTGTACGGTGTTACCATCCGAATTTGGGAGAGCGTCAGATAGGGTCAGTGCCAAGATAGATCAGGGTGGTAAACGAATGTAAAATATGTCGGGACAGAATGTAATGTATAAGATAAAATAAAATAAGAAAAACTACAAGACAATAAAATAAAAAAAATAAAATCCGTCTGAACTAAAACTGCACGAAGCATAACCAGACAATCGGTTATTATTAAACAATGAGGAACCATTGTCTACTCAAGACAAAAACCTCAAACAGAAAAACTGGAGACACCAAGTCTGCTTTTACAAGAGGGCGAAGACATTGGGTTTATATACATGTCAGCTAACTAGAAAGTCTAATGCTACAACACATGTCTAACATCACCTCGCATTACTAATCTGACAGCCAACACCAATGAGACTTCTAACGCGCCAAGGTCCGAATTACTAATTGCACTCGAACCAATTATCTCAAAGCCCAAGGTCCAACATACCAACAAGAATTAGAAGACTAGTGTTCACATGTCGGACCAGTTTACATACATGGATCACAATGTAGTTCGGAAATCGGACATATATAAAGGACAATTGGGATATCGATAGAACATAACCATATAAGGAAATAACGGAGGTAAGTATAATGGAACAAATAAGGAAAGGGGGAATACAATAATAGAAATCAAAGTGGGACAATGGATGAACAATCGGAAGTAAGATCATCCGATACTTAAGGAATAATAATACAGGGGCGAAAATAAGGAATGTGGGGCGCAGAAATGTTACGATAGTAACAACGTCAATATTGATGTATCATAGTGATAAAAATCAAGAACATAACTTTGTAAAGGATGTCTGTCCACACATATGACTAAAGTTACGTTTTTAATGCATGGATATATTCAATAATTATAGGCTCTGGGTATGCATTAGCCTTGTGTATGTATGCGGGCAATATAAAAACCAACAGATATTTCAAAAATTTGATTATGAAACCACCTTTTAGCTTCTAGTAAAAAAAGCTCCTTGCGAAATTGTGGTATAAACTAACCTCACCTCAATCCCAAACCTAATCATAAGCGAGTGTTTTATTTTTTTTCGTAAAAATTATTAATTGGTATGTTACACGAATTCGTTAATCATATCCGTGACGTATAAACTGTGTAAACTAATATATTTTCTGCAAAAAAAAGAGAACCAAAAAATTGCAAAGATACAGATCATGGTTTCAAGACCTGCTCTAAACGGATCTTAATTTTAATAATTAGAATATTCAAATTCCCCACAGATATGAAAATCATTTTCACCATTATTTTTATTAAGTATTGTAATAAATTCGATGAAATTGATCATCTAATCGATATTCGGAAACAAACACATCCAACACTTTTAACTGCGATGGATCTCTCTTAATGAGGTAGCTGCATTGAGGTAATTAGTTACAACCGATTGTAGTGAAGTTGCAACTTTTTGGTGTATGGATGTAGGTAGCAACTCCAATCATGTTAAAATACTACGTCGTGGTCGTAGTTCTTGTATGTACGTAGTATGTTATGTAGTAGACAATAATTCTAGTAGAACTAATAAACAATAATAATA